ACTTAACAGGATTTGCAAAAATCTTACAGCAACTAAATTTTGAAACAACCAGAAAATTGGTTTCAAGTCTTATTAATAAGATGATAATACCACTACCTCCAGAACCTACTTCAATTCCTAGTTATTTAATGAAAGCAATCCCTTTCAGTTTATCTATTACAAATTGTTAAACTATTGCACCTATAGCCAAGACTTTACGATTAATGTTCTTATTTGACAAAATACCTGAAACATATATTGCAGATAATCGAAAACCTTTACCAAACTTATACGAACTTCTAAATGATGAAGTGCACAATATATTTCCTATTATAAGCAGAGCAGACTTGCAAAACCTGACTCGATACAAAGAAACCTTGCAAAAATTTTACATCTTTTGACAAATTCCTTTAAGCTACTTTAAGCTACTAGCACCAAAGAGCCCACTACCTTCCACTCCACAAGACTTAACTCTCAGACTAAAAGAAAAATTTTCTTTCTTACCTAAGAACCAAAAAGACTTCAAAGAATATGTTAGACTTTTGCGAATGGTCTACTCATTTATAAGACTACCAAATGACTACATTATCTCATGCAGACGATTGCCCCAAAACTCTACAGACTTAAAAATAACAGATCTTATTTTTCTTCTACAAACTGCAGAAGAAGTTGACTTATTCTTAAAAAAAATTCCACCTATATACAGCATCCCAATACCATTACCAGAGTTGTTAATTAGACAATGTCTAATTATAATTTTTATTAAATCAATAGACCATTAGACTGGTTAAAATTAGTCTAAATGATCTAATAAATATAATTTAGATGTTATTAGACTAAGTCTAAAATAAATAAATTAAATAAATTTATATAGTCTATTAGTCTATTGGTCTATTGATCTAATTTTTTTTTTATATCTATAGTTCAGTAAAGTAATGAAATATAATATGTTAAATTAGCAAATATTTGAGTATGAATGATTAGGTCATAACTGAATGTAAAGTAATATATTATGTATATATAGTATACAGTGTTAGAGAAAACTAGACTTCAAGCTTTATAACTGCGTCACCACTATTCAAGAGTGTATTACATTATAATCTGACCTTCTAATATGCCAATGCAATAATTCTTGAACCTTTTTATATGCATCTGTGCTCTATAACAGTAAAATGATTTTTTTTAAAAAATATTTATTAGAGCTCGGTATCAGAATATAGTAAAAAATTTTTATTATAACTGTCAGTTCATTATACAAAAGTTACTGTATACATTTGTTTATTATTCATATGTTGACTAAAAATAAAGGTGGCTCAAATATAGAAATATAACACAAATATATGATTACAACACATTCACGCTATAGTGAAGTCCTCACTACAACTTAAAGCATGAAAATACTAGGCTTAAAAATACTAGATGTACTTTATAATTCTATAATTCGAAATTCTTTATTATGTCAAGAGTTCACTCTAACAAAGGTGAACTGTATTTAGGTACTGGTTCTTTTTGTTGTTTAATTCATGAGTATATTTTTAGAACTCTACAACCTTTTATTGTTTTGTCTTAATTATTTATTTGTGTTAATTCAGTTTATGAATGAAGGCAGATTCGTTTATAAATTCAGTTATAATGAAAGTTTTTTATAACGGGCTTCTTTAAACCTAATGAATTTCGAAATTTTTAAATTTATATTATTGAGTTTATATATAGATTATGTATACTTAATAATTTAATATTATTTGAACAATTTAATTTATATTTACAGTTTATTTTAAATCTGTTTGAGATTATTATTTATTAATCAAGTTTCTCTTTAGAATCAGAACAAATGTTACATAAATGCCTTTTTAAACTTCAAATGATGGCAGACAGTGTAATTTGCATTCTTCTAGCAATAGTCGATAATCAAAAAGATATTTTTTTAGACCTTCAAATGATGGCAGACATTAGTGTAATTTACGTTCTTCCAGCCATAGTCAATAATCAAAAAGGTGCTTTTTTAGACCTTCAAATGACAGCAAACATTAGTGTAATTTATGTTTTTTCAGCTATAGTCAAAAAGATGCTCTTTTTAGATGGTAATCTTAAGATTGGAATGCCATATGATTACATCCTCGATCGGTAGTAACATTAGACTTTTATGAAAATTATGATTTTTGTTAAACGTTAAAGTGATCTCATTAAAATCTCAATTTGGTGAAAGCAGAAGCAAAAATAATAATTTAAGTCACTTCTGAATTCTTTTTGGTACTGTATGCAGATGAAAAAAAATACTGCTTTTAGTCGATCAAATAATGAAGTATTGTTGAAAAATATAAAGGTCTTATAAAACATGTATTATACTAAAATTTTGCAAAGAATTTATTTTTTGTTAGAACACGAAAGGTAGTTTTGAGTAAAATTTTAGGTTACTGATGAGTTTTGAAAAACTTTAATTTTTTTCAAAAATTTTATGTTACATCTGATCTTATAATTTCATTAGTAGAAAAGTGGTATAGCCTACTTTGTCTAATCAGAGACAGAATTTACAAATGCCTAATTACAATTAAAACTTGAAATTCCAAAATATGCGACCCAATTTTATATATAAAATTATGTAGTTTATCAATTAACAATCACTTAAAAATAGACTTTTTTATAACATCATACATATATAGTTTTACATTAACCAATTTGGAATTTTCAAAGATTCTATTTTGATATGCAACATTACTATAAATATGAAATAACTGATAATCATTTAGATTTTTGGTACATACATATGTGCAAGATTTTTTTTAAAAAAAATAGGTCGATATGTTGGTAGTAAAAAGCCATATTATTTTACACCATATTTGATAATAGGAGACTATACTAATAAAAAAAAAGTTAATAAATGGGCTACATGTAAGGCTTGTTACAATATTCTCAGAGAAGAAGCCAAATTAAGTATGATATTTGTTAATCAACTTCAAAAAGCACAAAGGCACTGCTTTAATTGTGAACATTTTAAAAACTCTATAACTAAAGATGAATTTAACAAATTATTGTCAAAATCAGTGAAAAACCAAGAAATATCAGATTACAGGTAATCTATTCTATATATTATAATAATAATAAAAATAAAAAAAAACTCATTATAGATAAAATATCTTAAATGTAGTTCAAACAACGATAGACACGCATTTAGCACATCAATATACACCACCTGAAAAAAAAATTGGGAAAAACTTGTTTTAGATGCTACTGTCACAAATGGTTAGGCTTTTAATTGGGTTACCAAAAAAGAATCAATTGCATTAATTAAATTTAAAGATTCTAATCTCGAATTACCAAGTTGGCATGCTTTAGATGAACGAATTCTAAAAGTTGAGATACAACAATTAAATAGTATACAAAAAGAAAAAGTGATTAAAGATATTGTTGGTGTAACAGTTGCTTTTGACGATTGGAAAAATATAAATAAGGAGTCAATTTTTGGAAAAATTTTAATAACCTCGAATGGTGAAGTACTAATATGAGATGTTGAAGATATCAGTGCAGAATTAGACCGAATAATCATAGTTATTCCAAAAATAGAGACATTTCTTGAAAATTTAAAAGAAAATCAAATTAAAGTTGCTGCAGTTGTATCTGATTCAGCACTAGCATATGCAGCTGCATAGTAAATAACAATAAAACAGGATAAAACCTGACTTGTAAGTTAGTAAAAATTATTATATAGATTAAGTTAGTATATCTACTATAAGTTATATATTTTTTTATAACCAGGTTTGCTAGCTTGCAATTTAGATTTTATTCTGTTATATAATGGTAATTAATATGTACAGATGTACATATTTATAAAGTTTTTTATTTTATAGTCGTAAATTGCATCTCAAACATCAGCATATTATATTTATCCCATGTTATGCCCATCAAATGAATCTGTGTGTTGGCAATCTTTTTAAAGAATGTTTTAAATTTAAAGAGGCGTTAAAAAAAGTGATTGAAATAATTGGATTTTTTAATAATCCTAATAACACATACTGGATTAGAAAACTTCGAGATGAGCAAAAAACAGCACATAAATGATATATTTCTTTATGTTGCCCTTGTGATACTAGATGGAATAGCTATGGTGAAGCATTTAGCAGTTTGTTAAAATTCAAAGCATCATTAGTGGTATTTTAAATATATATATATATTATTATTATTATTATTTTTTTATAATTTAAAATTTATTTTAATTCTTATTATTATAGTCTCTTGCGGCTAAATACGTTATACCAGAAAATGGTGAATTATCATTATTAGAAGTTGTTTGTAAGCCTGTTGGTAATCCTGATTTTTGGTTGACAATAGTGGAATTACAATTATTATTGGCTCCTATTTGTAATTGTCTTAATCAATTACAAAAAGATACATCAAGATTATATGATGTTCTTTATACATTTGGATATTTTTATGAAATAATGAATAAGTATTCAGACTATGAATTTGGTGAAAAAATGAAAAAAAGACTAGAATGATGTTAGAAAGAGTGGGAACAGCCACTTTTAATTCTTAGCTACTTATTACATCCAGACATACGGCTTATACGATTTAATTTGTCAATTAAAGGAATTACATTTGCTAAATTAGAATAGTGAATTAAATATTATTTTTGTGCATGGTTTGGTCGTCCACTAACAGCATTAATAGCTGAACTTCAAGAATATCATGAAGAAAGTTTTTCTTTTACAAAAAGTATTTGGAAACAATTTAATGAAGATATTCTTAAATATTGAAAACATTGTGCAGAAATTAAGCCAGAATTAGGTTCTGTAGCATTACGTATTCATAGTATATTAGTAAATAGTGCTTCTGTAGAATGTTTATTTTCCTCGATGAGTTTTTTTCATACAAAATTACGAAATAGATTAGGGGTAAGCAATTAAATAAATAAATAAATTATATAATTTATTAATTATTTATTTAATTTTTTTTTTTTATAATTATAGAATGAAAAAGTTTTAGAAATGAGTCAATTACATGCTAAAATAAAGTATCTACAGCATCTTGAGGAAATTTAAAAGGAAGCAGAAAAAAGTTTTCATTTTGCACCACTGATTTATTATTCATTTGAAGATAATTTTAATGATAATGAATCAACATACAAACATGACTTTGATAAAAATAATAATATAATTGAAACTTCTGTGAAATGGAATAAGATTCTAAATAGTTGGTTTTCACTTGTCAATAATAAAGAATTAGCTTATGATGAATTTAATGAATTTGAGTGTAATGTTACATTTGACGAAGAAAATATTAATGCTGAATTTATAGTTTGTGAAACTCAGCATCTTGCTGATAACTGCAATGCAAAATGGTTACTGGAAAACCTTTTTATTAATAATTTATCAGAACTCTCATATGTGTTAGCCACTAAAAAATGTGAAGAAGAGAAAAAAAAGAAAGAAACTGAGTATTTGCATCAAATAGCAGAAAAAATAATCAAAATTCTGTAATAGAAATAGAAGAGAATGAAATTAATCATTCAAATGAAAACAATATGTAATTAGTATACATAAATAAATCATATAATTTGCACTTTCGTTCTTGCTTCTACTTTAATTTTTCATATAAAATAGCAAGTTTTAAATGTTTTTTACAATTAATTAGATAGTAATTCAAAATTTTAACTGTAAGTATATATTAATTAAATTATAAAATTCAAATATAGGTATTATTGTCTAAAGCGAAGCAAAGGACTCAAATTCTATGTACAATGATACAAAAGTTATGTTTTTGATACATTCTATATTAAAATATCAAAAACATAATTCTGAATTTTCTGTCTGTCCAATCACATGATTTGCGCTATAAATTAAAGATCGATATAATCTGCACAATTTATTAGACTTACATCAGTTTCTAATTCTTAGTTACTTAATTATGTTTTTATAAATCTGAGCAAATAGCCTTTAAATTTTTTGATGCTACAACAAATATATGCATTTGGTAAAACAATATCTAATAGTATTAATATCATTGATATTTATTTCTAATGATCTGATAGAAAAATAAAAATTAATGATGATAATGAATAGTAAGTATTAAAACTTTACAGTAATCGATTTAAAATTAGTAATTTTTAAAAATAACTCAAATAATTTTTTATATTCAAAAATTTATTACCTAAGTTTAGCTAAAAGAACATATAGTTAACATATTTTATTGATTTGGAATCAGAGTTGTAAATAATTATTATTACATATGAGTCATATTATTAGAACATTTATGGTTAGCATTTGTTACTAGAGTGAGATTGAAATAAAAAATAATAATTTTGATGTATTTAAGTATTTTTAGAGTGCTGCGAGTATAGATTACATTCTTAGAATATTTTTAGCTAATTATTATTATAAAAGAAAATTAGAGTATTATTAAATTCATATAAAATTTTAAAAACTTGAAATAACAATAGTTTCTTCTCAAATCATCAAGATAACTCAACTGCACATGTAAATTCAGTTAATATTATGACTTTGTCTCCTCTTTATTTGCCTAATACAATAAGCTCAAATGCTTTGATACAAGAAGGTAACATTAAGAATATAAGAAAAGAAGCTCAAGAACAAAGTATAACTGACCAACTATTTACATAACTGGTCTTCTATTTACAGCTATTCATATATTTTTTGAACAAATTGAATGAATTGCATATTATATAACAGATACAAGAAAGATCTAAACTTACTTAAATACAAAAAATTCTTCTAGCCAGTACATAAAATCTATTGTAAAATACTGGAAATTCTAGTAAATTAAGAAAAATTCCAGCTTAATTTTTTGATAGTTCAAAATTTTCTGTTCATTTAGAATTTTAACATATTCTTACATCACAACTGATTATTACTATAGTTACTACCTCTGGTTAAAGATCTTAAATTTTGTTTAATAAAAAGATCATCAGAAAAATATTAGAAAACGTCATGCTACAATTTTGTGCACTGGTTCTAGCATTTATTCAAATTATAGTTTAAAATAAAGATATTAACTAAATTATATATAATAACAAATTTTTTTTTAATTTATATCAATATTACTAAATATTTATTATTTTTTATATTATATGGGTGAAAATTTTTAATAATAATATTATTAAAATTAAGTGTTATATATAATAATTTATAAACAATTTATTAAATATTATATAGTTTCATTATTAGTTTCATAAGCAATTTACAACTAAGAAAAGTAATTAAATCATTAAATATAATATTAATTTAATTTATTTATTCTTAGTAGGTCTAAAAGTCTATTGATTTTATTAGACTATTAGACTTATTAGACTAGTCTAATGGGTCTAAATATATAGTTTAAAAAAATTTAACAACCCTGCTATTACCAAAAACTTATTATGATTTCAACTATACAGAACTTTCAGACCTACCAGAAGATGCCAAATTAATTATAGCAGTAAACTTAACCTTACTGATCTCAACTTCCAAAGAGCTAAGCATTGCAGCTAAAGCATTATATGAACACTACTACTTTCATACAATGCCCTAATCTTGAATAAACATCTAAAAAAAACAATCTGAATCTAGCAAGACTCCAGATAAATTACCTTCTACAATTGAAAAACTGCAACTTGCACTAGTTGAAAAAAAAATTGACAACATAAATATATTTATCAAAAAACACTACAATATTCTTCTGGTTTTGGAAACTCTTTGACAAAACTTTTCTTATCACATCATGCCAGAGTACATATTTGATCTTATAGATCTACCTGAACCATTGTTTGACATCTTTGAAAACAAAAACTTAACTAACACAATACCAAAGACACAAACATCTGCAATAAAGAAAGACCTTATAACAGAAGACTTATGAGCATACACTCTAATACAAATACTCTACAATCTGTAGAAAATAAGAACGAATCAAACCTTCATGACTTTAATATAAACAAAAAAATCAATATTACTACTTACAACATCAGAGGCATCAATGACATATTAAAAATGCAAACCTGGATCGAGCATTGTGCTGAATCAAATTTACATATAATCTCTCTCAGAGAAACTAAACTAAAAGACTCAATGATGTTGTCATTAACTAATCTTCTATACAAAATCTTTATCTTAAACTTTGTACCATACAAACTAAATTAATGAGAAGCTAGTCTGGGAACTGTCTTAATAGTTTGCAATCAACTACAACCATATATTCACAAAATCAACACCTTTCAAAGAACAGCTATATGTCTTGACTTCTTTTTTCCTAATGACAACAAATCTCATATCATTTCAACCTACCTCTCTTCAAACCATCCTTCTCTTCTAAAAAAGACCCAATCTCAATTACTCAACTAGATTACAGAAGCTAGGGCAAGAAACTGGCATCTAATTATACTGGGTGATTTTAATGCCAATTAATTTAGAGACAAGCACTTTCCAATATTCACAAATTTAAATGCTGCCAACCTAACAAGTCTATTAATCTTTCATAACATCCAAACACCAACATGACATGGCCCAACCTCTGCCAGTCAAATCGATAATTTCTAGATCTCATCAGATATACTATTAGCATTCGAACCTCCATCTCTAACTGATGCTTTTTACATTTCAGGCAGTGATCATTGCATCCTAAGCACAACCTGGTATATAAACTTTTCATCTCAAAAAAACTCTAGAAACAAAAAGAAGAAAAGGAAAATATATCTGTTCAAGAAAACGACATCAGATAACTAGGAAAACTTTGAAAACTCACTAAACGTTTGCTTCAACCCACAAAATATTCCAATATCAAATATAAACAAAGACAATATAAACAAAATATGGAACTTCTGAGCAGCAAAAATTAAAGAAAAAATGAATGAACATATTCCATATACTCTTACTACTTCTAAATCCTTCTTTGCACTCTC